GAATAAAGGCATTAAAATGAGTTACTATAATAGAAACAGCATTATAATTAAAATGTAATGGAATATCAATTTTAATTTAATGTTTTAGGTTACTTATAATTTTCAGCTTCATATTGATTTTAGTTGATTGGTAAAATTTTGAGAGAGTTTGAGGAAAGTCTTAATAGAAAAATAGATGTGGTTTTAAATAAGATCTCTCATGATGAAGTACATGATGATAATACTACTACTAATAATAAGGGAATATTCCTTCATTCTGGGGTTTTTTTCTGTTGCTTGTGGTAACCTTTTCATTGTAGATAAATGCTTTATTATAGCTTAATACTTTTTCTTGAAACTGCTAGAGACTAGATAAAGCAGAAGACTTGGTACCAAAGGGAAAAACTTAGCATGTGATAATTTTACCAAAAATGGTGGATAAACTTTGTGCAAGAGACCCGCTTACAGCAAAATGCACGTATTGTATTTATTTATTATGAATATATTTTTCCATATACTTTATAGAAAGAGAACCTTTGGCTTATTCCTCGGGGAAAATATTATCCTGCAATTTTCTAGAGATGTTGGTGTGGGAAGTTTTTTTTTGTTTTTTTGGTTTGTTTTTTCTTTTAATATAAACACTTATCTCCTAAACTCTGGTTTGAATAATTAGCTTTGAAAGGGAATGGAATGTATTTTGGCACGTCATGGAGGCCATCTAGGCAATTTGCACCTCTTCATATTAAAAAAAAAAAAAAGACGACATTATTAGAATGCAGGAATGGATTTATGTACAGGATTTGAACCATACCAAAAAAAAATCCTCTCAGATGAGACATATTATCTAAGTAATAATAGAATCCATTATGAAGCAAAATCAACCATATTTTTATAGGCTCATGAACGAGTGCCTATTAAAACTGAAATACTCTTGTTTCTGTTAAGATATGGTTGCAAACAGTACATAACATAATATGGCTTTGGGAATCATAAGCTCTTTCTTTTGCTTCAGCGTACCTAGTTTTAAAGGAAATAGCCTTACTCTTTCTTTGTTTTATACTAACGGAAATTAAGCACATTAAACCGCCTAAAATACTTTAAAAAAAAAAAAAAAAAAAAAAAAGACTTTTCTTACATTGTTTGTAATGGTGAGATTAGTCACTTCATGAGTTTTTCATTTATTGTATTTATTTTCATATTTTGTAAATGTGGAAGTGTGTGAAGGACTAGCAATATGAAATTTGATGCTATTTCAGTGTATCAGTAGCTAATCATTGGAAAGGACACCAATAAGCTCTATATGTTGCCCTTTGCTATACTCATTGTATAAGTGCAGGCCTTCAATTACTCCTGCAGTATTGTATTGATTTTTTTAGCAAATTAGGTTTTTTTTCTTTGTATTGCTTTGAGTGATATGCCATATAAAATGGCAATAGTCTCTGAATCCACCTAAACATTAAAATTAACTTAATATAAAAATGTGTAATTGCATTGTTTGTTATTCCTAAATAGTTATTAGACCATACTGAAACTCTTACCTGTTTTAAAAATATTAACTTTTATAAGTAATTTAATGAGGAATAATGTAATTAATGTTGGCCAGATGGTACAGATGGTACAGTACCTTGAATATCATTTAGATTATTTGGTTACCACATTCATTCAGCTTTTTTCTAGCAGAGTTTTTTAAGGATGAACATGATTGTGGATGAGTCAAGTGCTCTGTATTCCTGTGCTGATGGGAATGTATTACCATTTGATATTTTCAGTTATTACAGGGCATCTTAACTCCTTTTTTCTCATTTTAGATTTATACATTAATTTCTTCCAGTTCAAATGTACTTTTTAAAATGTGTTATTTTGTTCCACAGACGTAACTGTAAGTCTGTCCACATACTATTAGGGTGAAGCTACGCATTTCACTTATATCATACTAAAGGCACTTTAAAATGTGAGCATCTGCACATTAAATTGTGTTAACTCATGCTAAGTTCCCACTGAGTATCTCAGAGCTATGCCATTTCAAGGGAAGGATAACTCTGGGCCATGCTACCTAGTTCATGTTAGGATAACTTCAGCCTGCTCCACAGGGATAAAACAAACAATTTGCAGTCCTCCAGCATCCCAGGATGCACTATTTCAGTACCCTGATCAGGGCTTGAGCGGAGGTGTTCTGGCTCCTAAGCACACCCTTGCTCACCAATGCTCTAATGGCAAGTCAGAATTGTGCAGATAAGAAACAGTATTAACCACTAGTGTGAGGCTACTCACAGACCAATCTAACTTTAATACTGCCTAACATTGCATAGATGTAGTATGGTCTAAGTGTAACATGCAACTTCAACCTTAGGGATATATGAACATTTTGATGTGTCATAGCTAACTTTGGTATGTTTGTTGATATATTTTCTTCTTTAATTTGTATTATGATAAGCTTGCTTATAATGTACTTGTTTTCATGAATTTATTTTCTTTTGTCTGACAAACATTGCATTTTTAAAATAAACTTCCATATTTTATATGGAAATATAACATTTAACTATAAGGCATTAACCTTTCATGTGTCCTTTCTAACTCTTAGTGTGCTAATTAATAAGATTTTTTTTGTAATTATCTTTCTCTCCAATGACTCATCTTCTTTCCTTGCTTATCAGCATAGTCATGGCAATTCCCACAGACAAACTCTGTTCTGTAATTCCCACAGACAAACTCTGTTCTGTTGCAAAGAGAGGATTATGATCTCTTGGCAAGAGTTAGAGGAATTGGAATATGAAGGAGAGGGTTTATGTTGACAAACATTAATCTTCAGTAATTAGTCATTTTAAGAGGAAAGGGTGCTACAAATATAAGTGAAAGATAAATTCATTTAAGCTTAACTTCATTCCTAAATGTTGATCTATCTGAGAACTGCATGTTTAAATGCAAAAGGTTTTACCATTTTCCCATGTTAGTCTTTCATTCAAATACAAGGTTAGCATAATCTATTCCCTGGGTACAAAATTCATCTCTCATTTGTTGTCATTCTTCTTAATGATTTAAATTACTGAACAAATAGATTGAGACTAGCATAAATATGTAATCAAAGCTATTAAACAGGTGAAGAAAATACTCCATGTTACAAAGAAACAAAAGTAAGATGTGTACTGATGGATTCATTTGTAAAGGCCATGATGAAGTGAAGTATTGAAATACATGTTTAACTTTATTTACTTGAGTGCACGTAAGACTGCATAATTGTGTTTGAAGGACTAATTCCAAAAGAATGGATTTAAAAAAAAATAGTTATGTGGTGGTTCAGTTTGTGAAGCTGCATGTAGGAAAAACAAATGCTTTTCTTCTTCAGCTTTCCTGGATTTATATGAACTGTGTACAAGGGTCTGTTGGGAAAGACAGAGACAGTGGTATCTTCAGTCTGGCTTCCATGCCTCAAATACACCATGTTTATTCTCAGATGGGATCAGTATAAGAAACAGGCTGATTATGTACTGGAGATCATCTCCAGTTTTTACACCCTTTCTCAGTGTCTTTTTTTTTTTTTTTACATGCATATTACCTGATCTCTTTTTTGATAATCGATATTTTTACATTTCTGTTTCTCCATGGAAGTCCCTCTTTATGTAAATTTTCTTCTAGATAGTGTTATGTTTGTATATCAATCCTTGGCTCATTTAGAAGAGAATAGCTATAAAGGGTCTTTGAAATTGCAACATAGCTGGATCAGCTGGTTTTTCTCTGTGCATATTTATATATTTTACACACATCACAATTCTAGACAAATATGTTTGTTTGTATAGCACAGAAAAGGCAGTAAGACTATAGACATTCCTTCCCCAAAGCCAAACTCAGCTAAGTAGACAAGATCCACTAATCAAGAGGAAGGGCATGCAGAAAACCCATGCAAGGAGTTTGTCCAGTTGATTTACATGAGTGTGTGTGGGGTTCGTACACAAAGCAGACCTGTTACCTAGCTTGGGACTTAATCTCAGTTCCTTGAACTTGTGTAGCAATGAAGGTTTAGATGACAAGGAACAAAGGCCTGAAACACAAAATTTTTTTTTTTTCTGGATTAAGTTTAGAAGGAAACTGATTGAAAATACTCTCTCTTGTGTTTTTGTCTTTGTTCAACGTTCAAATAGAACTTACATAAACCTTTGTATCAAATACAAATATTGGAACTATCTATGAAAGATTAAATTAAAATATTGTGTAAGGGGGATATAGAAATCAAAGAGCATTACAATTAATTGTTTCCTTTGATTTCCAAGAATAAACAGAAAAGACTGATTTGTTGCTTCATTAAAAATCGATCAAAAAATGTATGCTCTATTTTACCATTAACGTATTTTTATCTCCTACTACAATTTTAGCAGGCAGTAATATACTAAGTACTACGAGTACTTCAGTATTGAGTTTGAAAAATGCCATCTTTTCCCTTCATTCTGGGTTTAAAGGTCTCTGTTTTGCCTAATCAATTTTGTGGTATTGTTTGCGTTTTAATTCAACATTGCACTACATAAACCTTCCTATTTTTGTTTGGTTAGAATACAAGACTTTTTTGTTTTGAAATGACTCATGACATTCATACAATATATTTTGTAATAATTTGTAAAGAGATTTCATCAAACTATAGTGGCTTAACTGAATGTGGATCTCAAACTAAGTGTGATGTCTCCTTGGTAACAATGTTTGTTATGGTTTAAAAGTCTTAAAAATATATTTACAATTCTTTGCGTCTGAAATATAGTTTAAAAATTGCAGAGAGTTGAAGTACCTGAAACAAATGAATGTTTTATATAGTCATATGTTTGTATCATAGGTGTTTCTTTTGTCCTCTTAAAAGCGTGTATGTGCCCGAGTTGGGGGAATCTTGGATTTTTACTAACCACATATTATTGATAAACTATTGTTTTAATTATTTTGCTTTGAATGCTCCATTTTTTGACTCACCATTATGAGACCACAATGATGATAATGTTTTAGTAGTAGGTATCACACCCATTTATTTTTTTGTTTGTTAATAGGGAAATTTTGTTGCATGCATGACTGCCATTTTAAGGCAAATGGAAGACTACCACTATGCTCATTTAATCAAGACTTTTGGGAAGATGAGGTCAGATGTTGTGGTAAGTTTAATTTTGGCATGCTTATCTTCTATAATATTTGTCTTTGTTTCTGTTAGTATTTGTTAAATGAAATCACAGAGCTGAAAAAGAGTGCTTGTGCAGGTAACATGACTTGATACAAAATGACAAATGAAGCATTCTAATTTTTATACTTTATGAATACAAAAGAGAGAAATCAAGTTTATTATACTAGATAATAAGGGGCCTTCCTATATATGGTGACCATACATACTGATTTGGCCAGGACAGCCTAGATTCCATAGGCTGGTCCTGCCTGGTTGGTCAAAAGTCCCAGGCCAGAGTCTGGCAGGGAGGTGGAGTGGCATGGTGCACCAGGAGGGCAGGCACTGCTGACACTGTACGGGGCCAAGGAATGTAGGGACTTCAGATAAGGCATCTTATGGTGACCATGTGTCAACCTGCCTTGCTCCTGCACAGTGGCAGCAGTGCCTGCCCACCCACCTGCCTTGTGCACCATGCCACTCCACCTTCCTGCTGGACTCTGGCCCATGGTTTTGACCAAGTGGTTGGGACCGGCTTACGGAATCTGTAACTGTCCCGGTCAAACTGGGATGTATGGTCACCCTATTCATACCCCAGAACTTGTCAGTATCCCTTTTCCCATCTATACACTTGGTCCAATAAAAGATACCACTCCCAAAGTCCTTGCCTTGTAGATGTCCCAACTGAATCTCTCCTTTGATTTATTTATTTTTTTTAATTACCCTTTATTTGTGGATCTATTTTCAAAATGTATACAGGACATTTTAAACTTATAGATTAATTATATCAATTTCTAATTATCAATAATGATTCAAAATCATATTTTTCTTTAATCGTTGGAATTCAGGCTATGATACAACTTAATTAGAGCATAATAGGAGGGAGTTTTATAGCTAAGGAGATAGGTCTCTAATGACCTGGAACTATTATTGCCATATGGCAAGTGCATGTTGCAAGTAGCAACCAAACTTGTTGGCTGGGATCCATCAATTAGCAAATGACCTGAAGTCTGATCATCTGTGTTATATTACAGATTCTGTTACCTAGGGACTCTAGGTTTCTGTGTCAGAGCATTTTAAACAGTTTTCTGATATGCTCTAATCTTGAGAACAGCCTCTATTTACTGGAGAGTTTTAGATACAAAAAAGAAAGAGAAATAGGTTTCTTTATTTGTGTAATTTCAGTGTTGTATAATTTAAAATGCTTGCCTGTGGTTTTATTGTAGCCAGATGGGAACAAGGGTAGTGCTTTTTTGATATAACAATGAATTCATCTTTTTTGCAATAGAAGTAATTTTGATGTATTATAATTATTAAGGGTTTCTTTTTCTTTTCTTTTTTCTTGTTTTGAAAAAATAGAAAAGGAAAAAACATAAAGAGCTTACTATATGTTATTCACTAATTACTTGCCCATTTTACTTAGGATAATAGTAAGGATTAATTTATGACCTATCCATAAGCATGGGAAAGATCTACAAAGCAACTTGTGATTAGTTGAATGATTTTTGATGTTGTTCCATGTACAGAGCATGGGAAGAGTTAAGAAATGTTGATGACAGGAATGTCTAAAGCCGCCTCTATTTTTCAAAGGCCTAGTTGGCTAATTCTCAGTTGCCGGGAGAAGCCTTGCTCCATTCGGGATTAACAGCTCTGAACCTTTTACTGCAGCTAGTTTCTTTCAAAAGCAGAGCCAATACTAAATGTCATGTCTTGCAGAAAGAAAAAGAAAGAAATGGGACTAAGTTGCCCTGGTTTAGTTTGTACTTACTGTTGGCTAATTGTGGGCACAGTTACTATGTGTGTTGTTTTGCATTAATTACCACACCCTTATTTAAGCCAAGATTTACTAATAGCACAAGCAACACATTTCAATCTCTGGGCACCCTGGTTTGGGTGTTGGGAAGGTATATTATTAATTATAATAGATCATTTTCTTTCTTTAATGATAGATCCTGGTCTTCAAATGAAAGGCAGGCATACCATGTTCTAGATAATCATATTTAGATCAATGGAGGTAATAGAGGTAGTTTTCATAGATTCATAGATGTTTGGGTCAGAAGGGACCTCAAGAGATCATCGAGTCCGACCCCCTGCATAGGCAGGAAAGAGTGCTGGGTCTAGATGACCCCAGCTAGATGCATATCCAACCTCCTCTTGAAGACCCCCAGGGTAGGGGAGAGCACCACCTCCCTTGGGAGCCCATTCCAGACCCTGGCCACTCGAACTGTGAAGAAGTTCTTCCTAATGTCCAATCTAAATCTGCTCTCTGCTAGCTTGTAGCCATTATTTCTTGTAGTACAGGGGTTGGCAACATATGACCTGTGGGCTGGATCTGGCCTGTGGAGCCACTGAATCTGCCTGGCAGAGCTGGAAAGCATTGCCTCTGCCTATGTCTGTGCTGGGGCTGGGTGTTGAGGAGCTTCCCTAGGACCAGGCAGTGGGAAACTGCACCAGCATCACACAGCTTCCAGGTAATGGGGAACTGAGCCAGGGCTTGGGCAGCTTCCAGCTGCATGCAGGAGGCAGAGGATAGAGAAGGGAGCAGGAAGAATCAGTGCAGTGCAGATGCAGCTTTCAGCTGTCCAGCCTTGGCACAACTCCCTTCAGGCTGGAAGCTGAGCTCATACCCCAGCTGGCAAGTGAGGAGCTGGGACAAGTAGTGCCAGCGCAGCTCCCAGGCCCTCACATGGGTGCAGGCAAACCCCTTCACTCATGACTGGCCACCAAAACTATCTAGCTCGCGCCAGACTGAAGCTGGATTGTTCCAGCCCATAGCTTGAAACGGTTTCTGGTCCCTCTTTTAGCATATAAAAATTGCTTAAACTAAATAGTAATCCAGTTTTAAGATGATAAAAAACTTGATATTTTTAAAGAATGCATACTAATCTGTTCCTTCTCCCACTGGGTTTTGCATGGTCAAATTGAAAAGCACTTCTCTTATAATATGTCAATTAAACATACTATACAGATATACTTATGGATAAAATAAGACTTTGATTATTTTGGTGCAATATTAAATGCTTATTCAAAATGGAAAGGAATAATTTCCCCAGTGGGTCTTCCTTCTTCTCAGTGGGAAATCAATTTAGTGAACTAGGTTGATCTCCTTTTGAAAAAAGAGGTCATTTATGGTTTTTGAAATGATGTTAAATAATCAAACTATAGTCAGGAGGTTGAAGAATTTGTGATCTATATACTATGCTGCCCTATCACATAATAACAGTCCCCTTCTTTTTCAATTTCTGCTGTGTCTTGACCTCATATTATGCCTATTGAATGTGGTCTTGGATTTAATAGCAGAAATTCTTCTGTAGTCTAGTCTAAAATTCTTATCTTAGATCAGCTCTGTATTATGGGCTTGCATTATAATAGACCATTTTTTCACTTTTACAGCTTCTTTGAATTGCTTATAAACTAGTAGATGTTCTAGTACAAATCTTGCTGTCATCAGTTTTGAGACATACTTTTTGTCTTGAATTAAAATGTTGCCTCTCTTGAATTACTTTAACGTTGCTCTTGATTTGTAAACGATAATTTATGCTAATAACAGTAATATATATGGTAATCTGGTAACAAATGTCTAATATGTTAACAGTAAATTATTATATGTTAAATTAACATTAAAACATAAATTATACGATTGGATGTGTAATGATAATGGATTGTAATTCCCCTGCCAAAAGGGAAACTAGTAAAATTATTGTTTAGTAACTGTAACGAATAAACTGGTTAGTTTTTTAATATGAACAATACCTAATAGAGTTATCAGCACAAAATTACAGCATACAAATCAATAACAAAAATGTTCCTTATCCTTTTTTTTACACATCTAATAGTGCTTTATTTAAACTGTGTCACTTTCTCTTCAGTGGAAAGCATTTATGTTGTATTTTAGTGAGAGGGAAAACTAATTATTTTCATTAAAATGGTACTTGTTTGGCTGTGTTAGGATGGACACTTGAGTACACCTTGACATCTAGCTTTGAGATTCCATTCTTTTTTATATTTTTGTTAATTTTTAAGATGCATTATTCAGTAATTAATATTGAAATCAGGTTTCAGATTTAATAACAGTAGAATTACCTGCCATGCTCAGTGCCAACAGCTTTTATTGCCTGATTGTGTTCCTAATACATAAGACTCCTTGTTTTGGCTTCTTCCTGTGGTTAACATAACATAAGGCTATGTCCCCGAGTGTGGACTTGCCAGAAGGCTCTTAACCCTTAACTTTTGGGGTACAGGGAGGGCAATATGATAATTTTATAGGGGCCCTTTGACTCACATTTGTAATTTTGGAGGTTATAAAAGATTAAAAGATGCCTTAATCACAGTCTATACATTTTGACATGTGAACATAATTTCTGGTAGCACAAAGGCATAAAAAGTCCTGCAATTAGAAATTAAAGCTAGATGAATTTATATATGAAATAGAGAGGTAGTTATACTCCGTACCTTTTCTTGTTTAAAAAAAAATACAGTATTTGAGTAAGGATAATTCATAGGTGAAACAGTTTAACTCAAACTCTGGTTTCTTCTCCATCATAAAAAGCTTTTTTACGTTAAGATTGGATATGTCTCTAAAAATATGCTATAGCTGAACCAGAAGTTTGGGGTTTGAGGCAGAAATGCTTGACAAAATGTTATGGCCTGTATTAGGCAGAAGGTCAGATTTAGATGATCACAATGGTTCCTTCTGGCCTTAAAATCTTTTCAAAGACAGCCTAGGGCAGCAGAGTCCCTTCTTGTACTTGTCTAAACGATCTGAACTCTGCTCAGATGAAGCTTTTTCTTCTAAAAGAGGGGAAGATCTTTCTCATTTACCAACATACCTTTTCCTGAGGGAGAATCGTCTGAGAGGAGTGAGATTATTTCTAATGTTAACATCTTTGACTTCTTCCTTGTACATGATACCTTTAATTCAAGGTTGAAACCTTATACAGTTTTGGATGGTAGCAAAGTTTATGCCAAAGTGGACTGTGGGAGTGCTACTGAGTATTC